ATAAGGCTGGTCATCGGAAGCGTGATTGTTCCAAGTACAAGAAAGATCTTGCTGCAGGCAGGGTCCAGGCTCTCGCGGATGACTCAGCCAGCCAGGTTTCCACAGTTGCCCCTTCGCAGAGCGCTTCAAACGTTGCACCATCAGCGTCCAGCAGCACGGCGCCGCAGCCCAAGGCTCGCGCCGCGCGTGTTGTTGACATGAGTGCCATTGATGAGTCCCCCGAACTTGATATTCAGTACTTGCGCATGGTTTCTTGCAACACGGAGTTTCATACCTTGACTGATCCTGATGATGAAGAGATGGGCGATGATGTTTGGAGCATCATTCTTGAGTACGGTGTGTTAGACACCCCGCAGCCAGGTGTGTTGGACACGCCTCAGCCAGGTGCGTTGGACGTGCCTCAGCAGGTCACTGCAGGTTCAGGCATGCAATCCTTGGAGGATGAGTGTTTGCCATCCAGTGACTCTGCAGTTTGCATGGTTGATGAAGCCCATCATGATGCCAGTTCGAAGCCTATGCACCTGCGTAGCAATGTAACCCCAGGTCAGGTGTCGCTTGCTGGCTCAGGTCGGATTGTGGTGGGGTCTGAAAGTGCCACTAGGGTGGTGATTGATCACCCAGCCGAGGACATCATTCTTGATTCAGGTGCTGGTGTCAGTGCTTTGCCCGCTTCAAATGCCAATGTTGGAGTTGCGGCAGGATCGCCCTCAGAGCGATATGTTGATGCTTCAGGTCGTCCGCTCAAGACTTGCGGCGTGCGCGTTGCAGAGGACAGGTAGGTGCCTTTAAGTTCAAGGAGAAATTCTTGATTGACGGTGTCAGATGATGGCCAGTTCTTGCTCACAAATGGTGTTGAGTCTGAGCCTGTGAAGCTCAAGCGCCACAGCTTGTGTGCTGAAGGTCATGTGCGTGTGATCGACATTGAGAATGTGACATTTGATGAGCCTCTGCGTAAGCTTGATGCTTCGGGTTAGCAGCGTGTGGGGTCAAGGTGCTATGCTTAGCTTAGCTTCGGCCGCGCACATGTTGACGCAACTTTGTTTCCTTTGCCCGAGCTGCTTTGGTATCGCGCGGCTTTGATCAGAGTGGATGGTCAGTGGACTTTGGAGGAGTTGCTGCGGATATCAGCTCCATGGCTGATCGCACTGCGCCGTTCACATGTTCTGTTGAGCAGGTCATCACCATTGCCCATAGTGATCCCACGCTGTCCCTGACAGCAGATGTGCCATCGCAGGTGCCACCCGGTCCATCAGGTGTGCTAGCAGGAGGTGCCCTAGGTTCACCAGGTGCCCAGGCAGATGTTGCCATGTCAGGTGATGCCCCAGGTGATGAGCATGCTGAGCCAAAGCCAGGTGATCGTGAAGCCATTGAGAGCATTACCGTTGATGGGACAGTTATCGCACGTGAGTCCACCTTGAGACTGATGTGTGCTGCCTGTGTTGCTCTTGGGTTGAGCAAAAGCGGTTCCAGAGCCCGATGTTGGGATCGGGTGGAAGCTGCTTCAGGGTCATCAGATCGAGCATGTCCTGAATGCCGAAGTGTCCCGACCACTTTAAAAGCACCTCCCATTGCACAGACGCCCTCCGAGGCAGATATCAGACAGCACGAGCTCACTCATGAGCCATTTCAGGCATGGTGCCGCACATGTGTCAAGTTCCGTGCTCGGCAGGACAAGCATCAGTCTGAGCATCAGCGTGCTGACACTGGCCGTACGACCATCAGCATGGACTTTGGGTATCTTTCGCGTGAACCTGAAGCTGAGGATCAGTTGACCTGCCTGTTTTTTGCAAGACCGGCTTAGTAAAGCTGTGCATCCCGACTGCGCGCAAGGGAGGTCCAAGCCTGACTCCAATGGTTACTGAGGCTGCAAGGTTTGTGGTTTGGCTAGTCCATCGCAAAGTCAAGCTCAGGACAGACAATGAGCCTTCCATTGTTGCTGTCTGCAATGCACTTCAGAAGGCATTGCGCGGCCTTGGACTTGATGTGATCAAGGATAGCAGACTGTTGACATTGTGCGTCAGCATGCAGGAAGTTTTCATGTGCGAACTTGAGCAAGCATGCGGTGCAGCCGAGGGCCAGACTGTTTGGGACCAATCGCCCCATGTATGGTTGGGCGGTGTGCCATTCTTGTTGGATTCGCGCCCGATACACTGTCTCCAATGGGAAAACTCCCTATGAATGCATTGTTGATGCGCCCTATGCCGGATCCGTTTGCAAGTTTGGAGAGAAGGTACTTGGATACCTCCGTGTTCTTCACCTGTGCCCTCGTTGTTTACTGACCAGCCCTCACCTTCATCACTACCACCACTTGTGGAAGCTGGGCCTGACTCAGCCCAGGCGGGGTCAGCACCAACTCTTGAGGAGAATCCACGGCCCGCAAAAGCAGCGCGGTCTGGCCCTTCGCCTGAGGACATGGAAGGTCAGGTTTCCTTGATCACTCGCAATGGTGAGATTTCAGACCCTCAAGTTTGCTTGATTGTGGAGTGTGATGAGCAGCCTTGCTTTTCTTGCGTTCGGCAGATCGGCGCTGAAGCCATTGCCATGTATGAGCATGAGGATGAATCCCGTGTTGAGCTTTGACCCTGAGAGTCTAGATGACGTCAAGGACTATGATGCCAGTTTGCTTGAAGATCACTTCATGGATCAGGACATCGATTTTGCGCTGCGCAGGCCACGCTTTGATGATGTCGCTCCAGAGCTTTCTGCGGCGGAGCTTGCTGCCTTGGACCGCTTGGCAGATGACATCGAGATAGAGATCCCGGCCAACCACCTACAAAGTTGACCCCTGACTTCTCCAGCCACTTGGATGCCCAGCTCTCATTCCAGAAGTGTCTTGCACTGCCCTCTTTGGTGCGTGATCCCTTGCGCAAGTTCTTCATGCAGCTTCTTGTCGATGATATGTTGGGGGCTGGATCCTTTGGGTGCCTCACTGACTCCTTGACGCCCGCGCTTGAACTGAAGTACAAAGTCAAAATCCAAGTGCTGCAGGCTCCCGACGATTCGATCACTTTTCTCAAAAGGCATCATACCCTTCTCAGTCATGGGAGAATGTTGTTGCAGCCATCCAACCGGCGTTTGAGAAGCTCTTCAGCTTGTTTGGTGTGTCCGAACGGGGTATCAAGAAGCCTCCCTGCCTGGCTGCTGTGCTTGACGAGGAAGATGGGTCTCCATTCATCAATGCAAACGATGCCAAAGTCTTTCGGTGTTGTGTCGGAGTTCTCCTTTACTTGAGCTTGGACTTGCTTGAATGCCAGTGTGCCATCAAGTCCCTTGCATCCTACATGACCTCACCCACGACCAATGCCATGACTGCCCTTTTTCGCCTTGTGAAGTACCTAATTACGTGGAGCCAAGGACCAAGATGTGCTCCTTCAGCACACACATCACGGGCTTCGGATTGACGCATACCGTGACTCAGATTGGGCAACGTGCAAGCGCACTCAGCGCTCCGTGTCTGCAGGTGTTGTGATGGTTGGGCAGAACTTGCTCTACTCTTCAAGCCATGCCCAGCCTGTTATTGCGCTTTCCTCCGGGGAAGCCGAACTTCTTGCATCTGCAAGCTGCCTGTGTGATGGATTGTTTGTGCGCCAGTTGGTTGCATTCCTGGATAATGATACCCTACCTCAGGTTCACCGCCATCTCGATGCAGTTGCAGCCAAGGGCATGATGGAGTGTGCCGGTGTCGGCCGTGTGCGGCATCTCAGCGTGAGAGTGTTGTGGATTCAGGATTTGGTTGATGACAAGACCATTCTTCTCCAAAAGGTTCCAACTGAATCTGGGTACCAAAAGGCTCAGCCGCTCGCCTTGGATGAGCCTGTTGGGAATCAGAGTACGCTGAACTTCAGCAAAAGCAGGCCAAAAAGGATGCCATCAAGGGGCAGAAGAACCACAATCGTCTCGACCCCGAGAACCTTTATCTTGCCGACCAGAAGAGAGTGATGCAAGGCAAAGAATATCGCAACCTCTGCAGCAAGCATTTTCAAGCAAAATCAATGGTCATTTTCGGGGTTGGGATGTATGGGAAGAAGTCCAAGAGTGGGCCAGACAATCCCGAATTCGTTGTTCAGAAATGGTCTACAGCAAATTCCCGATGTTGCAAATACTGGCATCCCTACTCTCCCAACTTTGGCCTGAATGTGATGGATACATGAATGAGACGATCTTCAATGCAATGTCCGAATTTCCAATCGCCATTTTGGTGTGCTATGTTTTTTGTTTACGTTTTGGGATATCCCGACGCACGCTGATGGACATTACTTCGTCTCACAATGATGCCTTGGGCTCTGCCCGGCATATATTTGCTTCAAAGCTACACTTTTGCGCTTGATTCAATGTTGAGCTGTGTAGAAGTTCGAGCTCTTGCAGCTTCGTCTCATTTGACCAGTTCATGTTCAACTTGGGGATGTCAAAGAGTACAAACTTCACCCATTAATCCACATGTATCATATGCAAGGTGATTTTGGTAACAGATGGCACTGCCCAAATGTTTGGCTCAAGCTTCCCTTATAGCCCAAGTAGGCAATGGGACTTAGTGCTATGCAATTGAAACATTGGTGGCAGGTGGATTGAGCTGAGTTGTGAGATCCGCCGTTGAGAGAAAAACGAATTGAAGAGCAAGGCTTTGCGCAAGCTGCTTTCATTGTGAGTGCATATCGCCCAGTCACCTTTTTACGTGTATTCTGTGGGATGTGCAAAGCAGCACGAGATGCACCTCGATGCAGTCATTTGAAGGGATGTGCAAAGCTTGCATTCCCATGAATCGGGGCAAGCTTGTGAGTTGACCGTTGGCTCACCCAGAAAGTTGTACACAGAACACAGAGTCCATGCTTTGGTGTGTTTTGTTGTTGCGCCTGCGAGGCCACAATGCGTTTTCAGTAAGCGAGTTGGCCAGCTTTGGCCTCATCATTTGTCAACGAGATTGGCTTTCCTGCAATTTGCATTTTGAACCCAAAGGGATGCTCCATCATGTTTAAAATGGTATGCTAAGACGAATCTGCAAGGTTTGCGCGGCAAAGTCGACTATGGCTTTGGCTCTGAGGCATGTTTTGGGTTCGCGACCACAGCCTGTACCCGAAGCATTGAACGCTGAAATGTAACATGGGCCAGGCCAAGAGGGCCCTGGCGGAGATGCGCATGGTGACGGAGGTGGCCAAGGAAATGGGCTGGCCGCTGGAGCAGGCTGGGTTTAGGGTTGGGGGTTTACAGACCGCATGCGACCAGCCGGAGAAATGGAGTCACCAGAGACCCAAGTAACTCATTTGAGCTTGCGGTCGTTCGTTTTCTATTTTGGTTCATGAGAGTTCGGCAATGCCTGCTCACCTGCCACTTTTTGCATATTTTTTTTTAGTGTGGTGTAATTCTTTTGCTTTCTGCATTCTGCTTTCCGCTTTCTTTTTTTTAGCCGTTTGCAGGCGGTTTTTGTTTTTGCTTTGGGGTTTTTGTGTTTGTTTTGTTTTCGGCCATTTGCCTTCTGCTCTTCGCTTTTTGCCTTTGAGGTCGGAGAGAAGCGGGAAGGAAGGAAGGACCGAAGGAAAGAAGGACGGAAGGAATGAAGGAAGGATCGGATTATAGAGGCAGGAAGAAAGCTAGCAAACAAGCAAGGATGGAAGAAAATATCATTAATAGGCACTGACCTATTCAGGGCATTTGCCACAAATATTGTTACCATTACTACTTTTGGTATGATTATTACGAGCACTGCTAATCCTTTCATTTTGATGATTCACACTGCTGCAATGCTGATTATTGCTGCTACTACTGTTGCTACTACTACTACTACTACTACTACTACTATTCCTATTATCTCTACTACTAGGTACAAGGCTAACAATTGCTTCTTGATTGTAAGGATGGTCAGTTGCGGACATGCCAAGGATTCAATTTCAAGTGTCCCAAAAAGCCGGACTTTGGGTAAGTAGGTTGTGTACGTTTTTTCGTTTCGTAGAATTTGTAAAGGATTCTTGAAGGTCCATATTTTCACTTTGGTCAAGAGGCCCTTCAGGTTCCATAAGTTGAGCCTGGAATTTGGCTGATGCAAGAACCCTTGAGTTGTTTTGAAGGGGCCTTTGGGGTTGTTTTGAAGGGGCCCTTGGGGTTCTATGCATTAGCGAAGGAGTTTGTCATATAAGGACATATAAGGTGATCTTCAAGAGCCAGACGTGCACTGCAGCTAGTTTTGATATAAGGGACCCCTGGTGTTCCGTGTCGGATGCGTCATACAAGAGGCCCTTGGATTGTATACTGCTAACTAGCAAGATTTTGCCACAAGAGGTCCTTGGGAGGTTGCATAAGATCCACTTTTTGAATGTATTGGCTGGGTCCGGGGCACGGGAGCATGCAGTACATCATTTGAGGGTTGACCGAGGAGAGACCGGAAGGACATGTATTGAAGACATTTGAAGACGCCCCCCTGAATCAACAGTGAATCAACCCAGGTTGAACAACGTCTTGTCGTGCACGATTTTGTTGATTGCTGGTTTCTGACATGAGTCGTGCTTTTCAGCGCATGTTGGCAAATTATTTCCAAACCGCGGTTCCAGCAATCACGTATCATGACAATGCATAGCTATTATGAAAAAAGCAAGGTCTCACACCAGCCGGCTTCGCCAGCGTATCAGTCTGAGACACATAAATGGCCTCAGTTTTTAGCGGAAGTTAGGATTTGAGCTTGGCTCTCGGTGATGAATGTAGTGGACCAGTCCTCCCTCCGCTAGTACAACTGCACACAAGACAATAAGGTGCACGTGATAATGTTGCTGGCAATGGGTGCCGCTCAGGATCTCACCATTTGAAATCTGTAGCCTTGGTTTTTGGTAAAGAATGTATTGGACCAGTGCACCCTCCGCCAATGCAATGCGGGACTGACGCATTACATTCTTGGCACGTTGGAAGCCTCCCCTCTCCCTCGTCGCTTTGGCTTCGCTTGCAGCGGGTAGTGCAGGTGTTTAGATTTCTGTAGCGAGACTGCCGACACGCACCTAGCAGCACCAGAAGCTACCCAATCCACCGAAAACCCCACAACAACATCCATGGCTTGCAGGTTTCTACCGGAATTGCAATAATGGAGTCACATCGAGATCGCAACGATGCTTCAGAAATTTACCAGCTCCTGACCTGCAACTCCAATGTATTGAGCTCTTGTTACATGCGATGCATAGGTCCCCCATGCGTGTACTTCAAATCTTATCAGATAAGTGGCACATCAAAGTTTGTAAAGAGGTCCTTCACGTTGGAGTTTTCCACCGGAGGTGCCCTTGGAATTCCAAACATCTACATCAGATTTTTGTTGACAAAAAGGGCCCTGGAGGCTTGAGCAAGAAGACCTGGGGGTCTCGTACCTTTAGTTCGGATTTTGTAGACTTGCACGTCAATCTCATTTTGCAGAAGAGGCCTGTCGAATTCCACGAAGAGGGCATTGGGTTCTTGACTTTGACTACGGAGTTTTCTGCACGAGCTGCCCTTGGGGCTAGTGCTACTTGCATAGTTGGTTCCTTGCGGCTCTCTGCCTTTTTTCGGATTTTTCATGTTTGGGGCGCGTGAGTCCACACAGCTACGTCTGTGTATTATTGTGTGTTGATTGTGCTAATTACTGAATGCAATGACTTGCGCATAGCTTGCACGGAACCATGTTCCCCCGCTTTCCCCTTGCCACCCTTGCCCCCCTTCCCCCCCTTTCCCTCATCCCCCCACTTCTTCCCTCTCCCCCACTTCCCGGGTTTCGAGCGCTTTACTGCGTGGAAGCGACAACATGGGAAACGGAAAAACACCCAAAATCCGCAGCCAAAATTCGACGCTTTTTCAGCATGAGTCTTCCGAAGCACGCTAAGGCGATGCAGGTGCTTGCCCCCGAAATGCAGGTTTTAAGCGAAAAGCCAGAAAACACAATGGTCAGGCTTTACGCAACGGCCGAACGCGAGCCGCTTCTTACTGTTAGCACTCGTAATACCTGAGTTTTACTAATAGTATGATTCGTGTCCCTCGTAATGCTACTATTTCTGAAGGAACTCTTACTGATATGATTGAGTATGATTGTTATTGTTTCTGCTTTTGCCAGTTTTGCTGTCATTATTACCGGGACCATTCTTATAATTGTGACTGCCGTTATGCTTATTACCCTTCTTACATCTTTTGTTAATTTGTATTCGTGCACTCGCGATTATTGCTATTCTTACTGTTGTTGCTGCTACTACTGGTATTATTTCCAAATTGCTTTAGTTTGCAGATGGGGGTGTTCCCAGATTATTTATATACATGTATACTCATATACACATATGCACACACACGGCACGCAAGTATCTGTAGCAAAAAGATCCGGTTGACAAATTTCTGTAGTTGCCACACGTTCATCATTACTATTGATATTAAGTTTTTGGTTATTACTGTTTTTTTATTCTCATCAATACAACATTTGTTGTAATTAGGACTTTTCATTATTCATTCCCCGAGCATCGATATTGATTACTGATTGCCATGTATATGGTGGACACCGGAATTGATTCCGGAGCAAAATTAAATCAACCTGAGCAGTGTCACGTCGCTAAAAAAATGAATCGATACGAAACAGTATGGCTGCTTCTGAAAATCCATAAGCAGATAGACAGTATGCATACTCAACAGCAACACTGTTGAACTGTTTCTTCATCAAGTTTCTTCAGGTTCGCTTCTGTTCATACATTTCATCCTGTTTCATCACACTTCATCTTTGTCATCTGTTTTCATAATATTTATGACTTTCATCTATCATATGTCATCATCATCCAGCAAGTTTCCAGTATATTTTCTCGTTGTACAAAGGTATTCATTGTTTGTGTCAGACTTCGTTGAATTTCATGATATGTCACCATACTTCATCATACTTCATTATACTTCGCCAATTTCCATGGTGATTTGCACCATGTCTCAAGATTTCATCATCTTAATTGATTTCTTTCAGGATTCCCAGTATTTCCAGCATTTTGAGCGTCTTCAGAATCTCTGCGCATTTTGCAGCATCTATAATCATCTTCCTCACATTTTCATCCTTTTCATTTTTTAAAACCACTTTTGTTCGTCATGCTTCGTCATATGTGAAATTAAACATGCGCCTTGATCATTTTCAATCATTTCATCAGACTTCATCATGTTTCACCGCTTTCCCATTTTATCATCAACTTTCAGCACTTTCACACCAATGGTATCATTTGCAGCATCATGTAACATGACTTTGCATCATGTTTCATGTTTCATCACATTGCATCATACTTTCGATGGTTTTTCAACATTTGTCATATTTTTTGTGATGCTTCATCGTTCTCATCATTTTTCGCAGTTGTCCACTACTTCTCAGAGTTTCATCATGTTCCATCGCTTTCATCATCTTTCATCATTTTCATGTTTTTCCTCCATTTTCATGACTCACTGATCACATACTCTTCTTTTTCGTATTTTTTTGAGACGCTGAAACTTGCTATCTCTACTCGAAAACGAATTCCCTTAATTTTGGCTGCTGTTGATCCGAATTGTCTTGATCCTTATCCATGTTTCGATGCTCACCCATCAGACAGGGCGCCTCGGAAGCCTAATAGTCGCGCATTCCCTGCCTGGCACATGTCCAAATATAGGTGAACGAGGCACACTTCAACGCAACAGAGGCAATTGTCATGCATTTCTGCCTGTTGCACTTCCAAAAATAACGTTAACGAGGCGCATTTCAACACATTGGAAGCAATTGTCACACATTTCCTGCCTGGTATAAGTCCAGTCGTAGTGAAAAAGGACATATCTATGCGCCGGAAGGAGCTGCCACACGTTTCCTACCTGTCACATGCCCAAACATAGTGTAAACACACGCATCCCCAATCCCTAAAACAAGACAGCCCAAAAACAACAAACCTGACAAGAGGACATGAATCCAAATGCAGACCCGCGACACCTAATTCGCATAAATTAAGCACGTCACACACAACACAATACGAAGAACACACGACTAAAACCCTCCACTCTCCACTCTCGACACTCCACAGGACTCCACTCTCAATTTCACTCTCTTCTCTCCACGCTCCACACTCCTCTCTCCACTGTACTCCCTATTCCCAATGCCACTCCACTGTCAAATTCACTCTCCACTGCGAATGCCCCACTCTTCAATCTCCACACTCCGCTCGACATTCCACTGCACTTTCCGCTCCACTCTCCAAGCTCGACACCCCACGCCACCACTCTCCACTCCGCCACTTTCCACTCCACTTTCCTCTGTGCTCTCCCCGCTCGGCTCTTTGGGCACAAGGGTTCAAAAGAGGACAGTTACGAGGATGGCAATCCCCAGGCACCTCATCCTTGTGACTGCTGACGCTTTTGACGCGGGACGAAGAGACAACACACCAAAAGCGACGAAAGCTACGAGGAGGGCGACCCCAGCCCCCCTCCCTGTGACTGTTGGGACTTCTGACACACGACGCGAAGACGACACTCCAAAAGTGACGACAGATGACAGTTACGAGAATGGCGACCCTGACACGTCCCATCCCCGTTGCTGTTGGCATTTTTGACATGCGAGAAGCCAAAAGTGACGACAGTTACAGGTGACCCACAGGCGTCCAGCCGGCTCGCGACATTCATGCGATAATCCTGGGACACTCTCGCGACACTCGCGGACGGATGCTTGCACTTGTGAACGCTGGGAAATGCTTGCGAACGCTTGCGAACATAAAAGCAACCATGTTTTAGTCACCTCCTGGACCCCTGGACCCCAACCTTTAAAGCAGGAATCCCTCAATGGAGAACTCGGGCAGCATCAAGTAGTGGTTTTGGATCCGCAAAACTAATCTCCCGAAAAGGGAATCCCCCTTACCTACAAATATCGAGCGCGTTTTGATTCCTGCAGTGTTTCGTTGTGATATGTGGAGATTTCCCTCCTGCTCTGGAGTGGAGGAGCAAGACCAGCTCATACTCAAGTCCCCACAATACTAAACTAAATGCCCTGAACGTCAAGATGCTGCCTCGTGATATCAACCTGGCCAGAAACCTCCAGAAAGTTATGTGTCATGATGCGTAATCTAGACGGAACTAGTCGCACCCCCACATATCCCTACTAAGCCCAGTCTGCATCACCAGGAGATGCACTGAACCTGGAGCCTAAAAAACAGTAGGGCGGCCAAAAGGTCACCCCTCAAAGATGCTTGCAGCGAGTAGCTTGAAGGGAGAGCGATGTTTCAAAAGCGGGCGGTGTGTGTGCTCTGCAGGTCTTCGGTGGGTACTGCCATGCAGACAGCTGGAAGGCAGATTTTTCCCGGATTCTGCCAGCTGATAATGCGCACCCCAAGATGATTGTTCCCTCGCAGAGGCCAAACGGGAGGAGCGGGCCATGTTGTTGAGTGACCTCGCCAGGGCTGCGCGCTAAGTGTTCCTTGAGTCGGCTGAAAACTGCAGCGGCAGCTTCTGGAAAGAGGTTCTCCACGCATGCTACCCCGACGTAACTTTACAGGCGAGCCCGGGCGTGTTTGTCTGCGCGTATGTATGTGCATGTCTGTCTGTGCATGTACACCGTGTTTGCGAATTTCAAAGGTTTACTAAGTCATTGGTGCATAGACACAATAGCTACCGTCACCGTGCACAATGTACATGTGGGTTATGGGTGAAGTTTGTACTCTTTAGCATGCCTGGCTTTTTTGATACACTCGCTCAACACGATCATCACATTGGCAGGCCGTCCACCAATTATGGTGCCTTACTGTGGAGGATCAGGTGGGAAACGGACGGAGTACTGGCTGCAGATGGTGGGTTGCAGCACAGCCTACCTGCGGACAGGTAACTGGTCTCAAGTGGCATGAGCTTCAGAATTTTTACGTGAAGGATGGGCAACAAGTCGGAGCACCTGGCCTGTTGCTTTGTTTGACGGCTTCTCTTTGTTCACCACGCGTTCCGACGCTGCAGTCCCGCTTGAAGTGGGCTACTGGGAGTCTGGGCATGTTCCCCTTCATGAAGCAGGCATGTGG